ACTCCACTCATTGTCTGCTCAGTTGAAGAGCTCACAAGTGATGTCAAGTTGTTATCCCCAAACCGGTGAATAAGCCATCACCTGTCATTGCCCTCGTAGGGCAACAGCTGTGTTTGCTCTATCGACCCACGCGTTTCTGTGTGTGCCTCAAACCGTCTGCCTCCCACTTCGGTCTCCCACAGCAAAGGGACACTGGTGAAATGCTTGTTTTCTCTTCACAACAAATATATCTCCCGGGCATTTGTAATGCAGACAAGGGGAGGCTTTGCAGCTGCCTGATATTCCAGCACTTTCCTCTGCCTTCAGTGCAATTCTTCCTGAATGACTGATTTTCACACCAGCCTCAGTTCACACCTGTTCTGATACTGTTTCATTCTCTCTACCACAAGACATCTGTTTTCCGCACACCATCTTAATTGTTCAGACAGGCCTATATAGTTCAAAAGACACAAAATGGATTAGATAAGCCCTTAGGCTCAAAGGTCTGGAGAGATGAATGTCATCTAAGGCATCATTCACGTTTTTAAAGCTGTGCAGAATCAATTTCCAGCCAGCCAGACATACCTAAATGCGAAGTTGGAGAAGGCACCGATCCATTTTTACCTCTTCATAATGCGTATCACCAGCACAGAGGCAGGAACTGTTGGCTGGGAGGTGCACAGGTATAATAAAAGGCTCCAGGTGTTGCTACGGTGAAGCCAATTTGTATTTACTTTTATTCTGTGGAGCAGCATATGGCAGCTTTTTGCGAAGTCTGAGGTCAATCAGATTTTTAGGCGTAGAATAATTGACACGAGCGTGCCTTTAACCCGCTCGTCTTTAGGACAGCACATTTTTCAGCCTGTGCAGCACGCTTTGCCTCCGTGCCTAAAACACCCATCTCGTTTTTCACTCACGAAGCTGCCAAAGGTCACGGCTTCCAGTGTCACCACAACATCAAAACTGTCTGGGAGTCCCCCTGAGGACGCTCTGCTCCGTGACCCTCTTACTGCACACCTTTGCCTTCGCAAGGCCGTAGGAGCTTCTCTTCCCCATTTAATCGCGACGCTTCTGCTGTGAGTCAGAAAGACACTCAATCAGCTGCTTGTTGGCACTCGTCAATAACCCAAATAAATGGCAGAAACAGAGTGAACTACGACTGAGGAAAAGACAGGGTTTTCCTCTTCTCACACAGAAAGAATACAAAGTAATAACTATTTGCTCAGAAGAACAGATTAGGATCCCTTACTAGTTTTTCTCTTATTTTTTGCAGGACCACCCAGTGTTTGAAGTGAGACAGACCCCAGAGAGGCTCCTGTAAATGCCCCAAAGGGTTATAAATCTTTGTTCAGAGGGGAACTGAAAAAAGATCAGATGGACTTGCTGTTAGAAGTGACCATGGGAACAGCCACGTGAGCAGACACCAAGAAAATGAAGGACCTTGAGGGACCTGGGAAATCTTATCAAGGAAGATATTAAGAAAAACGGGCTTCGAAAGCAGACTGTTGGAGCTGCTATGGAGAAACAGGCTGAAGATGCAGGGAATTTTGGCAAAGAGGAAGCATCAGTACAGAAGTCCTAAGCCCATGTCCCACCTCTCGCCCTACCTTCCCATTGCTATTCCATAGCTTATAGGAGAACCTGTATTTGGGGGAGGCCAGTCCATGAACCAGAGCAACAGACAGGATTAGCCCTACCCAGTTCAGTCTCCCAAAACAATCACAGCCCACCAGCCAAAGAGAATGGGCATTGGGCGATCAGAGGGTACGGAGTCCTTTCAGAGGATTCTTTCTGTTGCGCTATTTGCAGTCGTGCACTTTAATCCTTAGCGCTTTGAGTGAAACGTTGCCTTTTCCAAACACGACAGAAATTGCTTACGCATTCTGTTCTGCATTGCCCTGCGCTCTTTCTGTTGCCTAAACAACAGAAGCAATTAATCTGATCTTGATCAACATCGTGCAGGACCCAACCAGGGTGTGCGCAGAGAACACTATATCTGCTCCGTGCAGGCACCGTGGAAAGGCGGACACCTGGATTATCTCCTGCCTGGCAGCAGGGCAGGCTCTTAAATACGACAGCTGCGGGCGCATACGCTGCTCAGAATAAGGGCAGCACAGGCATCCTATTAGAGTCTGTAATTTTCTGTAAAGTACAGAAGTGCACCTTTTCCCATTTTCTGATAGAGAGCTCTGAACCCCGCGGGCAGCTCGGCACGTGGAGCGAGTGTCACAGCTCCTGCCTGGAGGCTGCCCTGCCTCTGCCCGCATTCCCACGCATCCGGCAGCCTGGGAGCTGGGGGGGACCAGTCCCGTCTCGACTGGAGATGCCCGCTGCCAGCTCCAGAGGCGTTCCTTCGAAAGGAAGCGAAACGAGGTTATGGACAGGGTCTGTCACAGACCGCCGACCCGGGTGGAGAAAATGAGTAAGAAGCTTCTTTAGCTATAAATAAGCAGAGAAGAAAGTTGTTAGTATTTGATATTTCAGCTTGGGAGACAGAAATATCCTGTGTTCCTCAGGCTGAACCAGAGCTTTCTTAAAGAGTAGATGGTAAATTCTTAACAGGAGGTTTGCACCCAATTTAACCAACCCCCAGTAATTCTGCACTAGGCTTCCTGCTGCCCAGTCCAAAGGAACTGATCACTGAGGTAAGAATGTGATTTTTATATCCAGCCCCACACAAGCACCCTCCACAAATGACATACACCAGTTCCTCCCAAGAGTTTACACTCCGAGTGCATAAAATCAACAATTAGCAGACGACGAATAAATAATGCGTGTTAACGGGATAACGCCGCCGAAAGGCAACGGAACCTGACGGTCCATAATTAAAGCGTGGAACGCGCCATCCATCCTCCCCAGCCGCCGGCCCTGCTGGCAAGGGCTGCTCTGGACTGGAGTGCAGGCTAACGGAGCCACGAGTTCACTGGGTCCGCCTTGTCGGTCCCACAGGCCACTTGGCCAGCAACCCCCAACACCATTAGCCATCCCAGGCGCCGGGGGTTCCTAACCCTGTCCTCGCTCTCTCAGGTCGCTTCCCATCAAGACAGCCTTGAGCCGACGGTGAGGAGAGGGAGCAGGCACTGACCGCCGGCAGAAGCACTGCGGCCAATGGGATGGAATTTTGGCAGAAAGGTTTTCTTCCGCCTGGGCGTCAGAAAAGCGCTCTCCGCAGATGCTGCGGGATGCGCGGTTGTGAGGCGAACTCAGTGCCCCTGGGGCGGAGGGAAGCTTCCTGAGGGTAATGAGCCGCAGTGCCTGATATGAAGTAGGTGTGCACACAAATCTGGCGTTTACCTGCCATCCGCGTGTTTGATTTTGAAATGAAGTGAAAAAATGCACAAATATCAAATATGCTTGGCAGCCAGCACCACATAATGGCGGTCATTTCAAACACAGCCTGTCCCTTTGTAGCAACCCGTATTCCTACCCAGTCCTGGTACCCCCCCCACATTCTTGATGCCGATTCCCTCCTTTAAGGCAAGTATGCGTACCCAAAACCCTAAGATCAGCAGGATGCTTTACATTTTGATACAGCCATCCTTCAGCACCAGAAATTTTGGCAACGCAGACGTGAGAAGGCAATTCTTCCCAACTGTGGAATCCTCAACAAACACCACATTTTTTGACTTAGCTACAGTACGAATATCCTGCTTTACTTTCCAAACTGACAAGGCATAAAGGAACCAATTAAAAATATAATTATTCTGGATCATTTTTACTGACAGAGTGAAAGCCGAACCTGTGACTTGCTCACTTCTGCCAGTGTGCTCCTGAAAAGCAGAATAGCTTTGAAAGACAGAAACTTCAGAGAGAGCCAGCAACCACAGGATTCCCCTAAACAAGGGTCAAACCTGCACTCATCAGCTCTGGGTAAAGTGGTTTCGGTAAACCCAAATCAGGTACCTAGAGCAATGCAGGTTTTCCACAAATGACAAAGCATTTCCATAAAACACCAAAGCCTTTCCATAAATTCCAAAGCCTTTTACTTTGACCTGAATGATGTTTTTGAGTTGACTGAGGCCAGACAGGAACCAAACTGGAGCTCCCACATGGGAATGCTGACCCATGTGGTCTGGGTTAGACTATCCCAAACAGAGGAAATTACACATGCAAACGGGGATGTGATCGTCCTTTTATTTATCCGTGTTGTTCTGATTTCAGGCATGTTTGGGGCCAAGGTTTCTACGATGACCAGAACGGGGCAAACAGAACTGGCTAGGTATTTGGCATATCTTCATTTTGATAGCCTTACAAGCTAATTCTGTTATTCAGTAGATACTAAACCCACATCCTGAAGAGCACATTGAGTAACACAATCAAACATATGGTAAGTTATGGGAGTCTTCATAAAGGATCAGAAAACAAAATGCCAGAATACCACCCATTTGTCAGTAGGCAGAAGACATTGAATGAGTGGGTAAACCTGATTAAGCTGCTAGTATCATTGTATCAGTTGACAAATAACACTGCCAAATCAAAGCAGCTATCTATTATTTGCCCAACATCCACACGTTATTTTCCTTCATTAATCAACCTGCTTTAGTTTGATCCCATATAAGCTTGAAACCATGGAAAAAAAATACGGCCTGTATGGAAAATTGCTGTGGGATTGCAAAAGACGTAGAGCTTGCCAAAGAAAATGAACTCTAAAAACTGTTTTCCTTGTTCATGTGCTCTCTCCAGGCCCTCTTGTTTATGTAAGGGCTCAATATATGATCAGGTTACCTTGCGTCAGCCAGGCTGTGGTAATTGTCTGTGTGTGCACTTTTGGCCCATAGCAAACGCAAGAAAATTTAACTTCGTTTAAGCCCCTTTCACCGCAGGCAAACCTAACCCAACTTACCTTAGATTCCCTGTGGGGTAGGAGCGTGCACTGCATTTGCATCCAGTGGTACGCTACATCCCAGGAGCCTGACGCTGCGGCTGAGACCCAGGGTTATGCAAGGTGCCCTGAAAGCTCTGGGGCAGCTTGTCTTTTTTTCTACAAGTGTATTGCACGGGCACACAGATGAAGGACTTACCTGCCAGGCCTCAACCTTCTTAATGTCTGCACAGGATCCGTTAGTGAAGAGTCCTTTCCCAGGAGTACAGGTATATATATCCTGCAAGGCATGGGCGATGGAATATACTGCCAAATACACATTATAGGATATCCGCAAGTGTGTGTAGTCCATGTACGGTGTCTCCACGCTGGTGATGTTCTCATCCCCTGTGCACGGAGGTCGGAAGGCAGACGTTCCATTTCCAGCTCCCAGTCCTTCTTCATGGCCCTTGTGGAAGGAAGTTGAAGCTGGAGAATTTTTGGACCCATCGGGGAGATAGCAGTTAAAGGTCTCCTCCCAAAACTCTTTGGCAAAGCCGTTGTTGGTGGACTTCTTGGGATGCACCTTCTGCAGGAACTCACGAAAGCCTGGGATCTGTCCTGCCTTTAGTGCAAACCCAATGGTGCTGCCGATGACGCGGAAGAACTCTGGCATGGCTATCAGGGAAGAGCTGGCCCAGGCCTCGCTTGCTAGCCAGATCTTGCCAGTGATGTTTCGCCTGACGATCTCTTTGATGAGGGGCTCCAGGTCCGGGCCACTGGAGAAAACGACGATCACCCTTGCCGTGGAGTTCTGGATGACCTCCACTACCTGCTGGATCTCCTCCTCATCGGAGTACTGGGAGATGAGCTCACTAAAGTCAATGCAGATGTCTCTCTCCTCTGCTTCCTCCCGAAACTTTTCAATCCCTGGCCGGCCGTAGTCATCGTCAGCCGCAATTGTTCCCACCCAGTTCCAGCGAAAGTACTCGATGATGTCTGCCATCGCCGTGGCCTGATGCTCGTCATTGGGGATTGTGCGGAGGAAGGACTTGAACTGGTTCTTATTGCTCAAGAGACGACTGGATGAGGCGTAGCTGACCTGTGAGAAGACAGTACACAAGCAAAACACACTATGAAGTGAACTGCCCGGGAATAAACTGCCTACATTCATCCAGCATCACTGCCAATCCCTGTAACCTCGGCTGGGATGAAGGGAGAGCTGGGCACCACACTGGCAACCACGTACTCTTAGCCTGCGGTTGCACATGATCCACTCTGAGAGTCTGTGTGTTCTTGTGGCCGTCACCGTCTTACAGAGGCACAAATACAGCAGCTGCTCGGACCTGAGAGACTGGAGCGAGCTCGTGTCCACCTGCAAGGTCAGGGAGCTGAGGGAGAGAGACGCTGACAGTAGCCTGGAGGAATGGCAAAGAGGTGAGCCGTGGGTGGCCTACACTCGCCTCGCTGTACTTACCACCGAATCCAGAAACAAGAAGAATGTGTCTTTTCAATAAACGAGGGCAATGCACATAATTCAGACAAAATGCAGATTTCCTCTGTCCTGAACCAGACACGAGACAGCAGGCTGGTATCGCCGTCCTGGACCTACTGTGGCGAGCACTGTCTGTCTCTCCTTGCCTCTCACCTCTGTCCGCATCCTTAAAGAGGCTCCACCAGGCACGCGATGTGTGTTATACACAATCCCTGCCAGTTGTAGTAAGAAGAATGTAACGTGTACCAGTTGCTCTGACCCTGCGGAGTGTTAAGGCAGTGCTGGTCAATACCACCTTAGCGGTATTTCCTGATCGCTGGCCAGAATCATCAGAGAAGACAGTAGCACTCCATGCTCCATGAGCCACTGTGTTTTACAGTTCATTTTTTAACTGCATGGGATTATATTTCCTTTTCTAGAGCTCTCAAGAAGTATGTTTTTCCTAATCAGAACAAGTGCCATATCCTCTTAAAATATAATTTGGATTTTCTACAAGCAGGAAGAAAACCATAAAACCCAGAAGAGAATAGTTTAAAGATCTGGAGAACTTTTAAAACTCACTTATCTTTGCATTTTGAGATTGGTATCTGAACTCTTTGGGACTGATTCTCACTTTGAAAAAGTCTTCTATAAACAGTTCATTTTGTACAAACTGGAAATTCACAGGAAACTTTAACTCCTCCTTAAACTCTGGCGTTTAATGCTTCTGCAAGAAGAAAGAAAAAGACGTCTCCTACTGCAGTTTCAAGGGCCACAGGAGTAAATTCTCCTTTCACAGAGCTATACTCTCCCCTGGGCAGGCTCCTGCCCAGTGCTACGCTCATCGCCTAAAACTTAGTGCCAGGGGGTACAGGCAAGGTACCCCACTCCCGCGTGCGCTGTAAGGGTACACTGAGGTGAGATACTGAGAAACAGGACTGGAGTCATAACATTCTCAGTTTCTATGTCAACGGAATGAGTAATGAGCCTTACATTAATTGTAAAATACGCCTCCAACTTGTGCTGAAATGCCGGGTCTATTAAGCAAGGATTTGCTAATGGCCCTGCTGTAAATGGCAGCGATAACGTGTATTCTGATGCTGCCCAACCACTCCCAGTTTAAAAGCCTGCTTTCAGTCTCACCCTTAACCAGCTGGCTGAGGTTTCTTTCCAGAACTGAACCTCCTGACACCTACCCCTTTCAGCAAACTCCCGATAAGGCTACTGCCTCGTAGCGCAAACGCCATTTCCCGTTCAAAGGGGACGTCTGAGAACAGCAAACATCTCTTAGGTTCAGTCCAACCCACCAACCTTTCTCAGCTGCCCTTGTTCACCTGGTAATGCGATGGGTAAACGAGCAGTACGCCTTAAAATGCCATCACGGTGTTTGTAACCCGCCACCTCCCAGCGCTACTCTGGGCAGTATCTAGGTAACGCATGCTGTCTTGGCGTAAGCCTTTCTTGCCCTGCTCAGAGACCCAATGTCCGTTTTTTCAGACCCCTGTGAGAGAGTCAGACCGATGACATTAAACAGACAAGATATGTTACTGTGCACCATGCAGACAGGCATCCTTCATTCTCCATTTGTGGTGCGGGTGGGAATTGGAGCCCTGGCTGAAACAGAGATATATCCTCTCAGGACGGACTGAGAGAGCAGTGTGACACAATCTTGTTACGAGGACTCCTATGAGCCCTGGCACCTGTATTCATTTTAGAGGAGGAATTGGAAATATAAATGGCTAAGACCAAGCACTTTTCCCAAAGTTGCTTTCAATGTGGAAATCTAAAATCAAGAGCAGCAACGTTAAGCTGTAATATGCCAGCCTCATCCTTTGTGCGAAGAGCACGTGTTTGTTAAACAGGACGGGAGCATGGATGCTGGCACTGGCCCCAGCAGAGTCATAGAATCA